GTTAGCTGAGGGGAGACAATGATAGGTAAAAACTCCTTAGTGAAGCCACAGTAACCCTTTCAGCTTTTAAAAAACAAAACCAGCAAAACAAACAAAAAAATCAACCAACACTACCACACATTACCTTCTATAATATAGGAGAGAAACACTAGCTGCATCTCTCTTTCATGGAGCCAATGAGTTTCAAGTACAGAAGATGAGAGTACCCATGTCCCAGCAGACTGCACTTTTCCAGCCCAAAAGAGAAGCAGCTTGTTAATTATTCTAGAAACTACTTATGAGTAGACATTTAGTAATTGCTAAGAAAAAGCAACTGCTATAACAATAACATCTACATTTACTGGTATGTATATTTTACAATCATTAGTACCTGCAGAAATGAGTCCAGCACCTCTAACAGCCCCAGGTTTTATCTCCTGCATTAGTCTGCCTTTGTGGTGCTGTTCTAATACAGTTAGCACAGGCTGTGGCTAGCAGGTGGTAGCTACACCCAAACCCAGATGACATTTTGCATACCATTGGAAAAAGCTAGAAATTTTCACTATTTTCAGTGGGGAGGCAGTAAGGAAAGTGGTGCACCGGGGTGATGTACTCACTGCAGCCTGGGTTGCTAAGCACACAGCCTGCTATGTCACTAATCAGGCAGGACTGGGCAGAGTCATTAAGTCTGGAAGCAGCTGAGTATTTAATAAGCTGCACGCTACCATGCATTTACATAGCTTAAGTTGTAGTAAAGCCCTAGCAGTAAAGGGTCAAAAGTGCAGGGCTGGAGAACTAAAGCCCACGCAGACCACATGGTAACCCATCCTGCCCTCAGTGGAAAAGGACTTAGGGAGGAACCACGAGAAAATGAGGCTCACTCCAACCAAGGAGAATTTCAAAGGTCAAAAGGCAAGAATGTTAATAATAATTGAAGTTAAAGCAATGTGACCGGGTCTGGCAAAGCTCATTTACACAAAGGTTGTAGGGGTATCTATGTGCCCCCAATAAACTGAGCGTAAGGAGCGCAGTCGAAAGGAAAATGAGATTCTCCTTCGTGGTTTACACACCTAAAAATGAATTTTTGCTCACCCTATGCATGTGATCTTAAAGATTCTTTTATGTGAATCATTTGACACTTATTTCCCAGTGTGCGTATTTCCCTGGGCATCATCTTCACCCTGACACTGCTGGAGACCAAAGGTCCCGTCTCATGCAGTGACCCTCCGCAGCAGGCTCTTCATCCTCTCTATTCTCTCCCTTGTTAGCAAAGGCTGTTCCAATACTCACCGAGCTACTAGCTTTGGACAGGTGAGCCCACATCCGATTTCACTTTCTCTACTGTAATCACAGACTTCAGTGACAGTACTTTTCATTTATACTGATGTAACCAAGATTGAAATCTATTCCACAACAAGTATTTATCAGAGCACATCAAAGAAAAAACAGACCAGAAGAGAAACAAGCAAAACAGTGAGTGTCATTAAACTTTGCTGAGGTAGATGTGAAAGTCAATGAAAATCATCCCAGATACATGGAGCTAAAATGTAGGGCAAAGTAAAACACTGACAAAAATAAACCCAAATTTCCAAACACTGATGTCCTACAGAACAATTTTTAATTACTTATAACTTGCAAAGATTAAGAAAGAAAACCTGCACAGAACTAACAATACATGAGCAAAGTCAACGATCACCACCCTGCTGCTTTTGTTAGCATCTTGGCTTTGATATGTATGCCCATTGTGCCTACCTGCTCGGGTCAGGGACTCTTTCTACAGAGTAGTAACACAGAAACAGGACAACATCCACAACTGCCTTTCTAAATCGTATAAAATAATGGGATGCCACACTTTAATTAGATAATTAAAACTCTGTAGCTGCTTTGCCACATGCCAAGGACACTCAGTTTCTTGGCAGCAGGCCTCTAATTTTTCTTCTTTGTATCCAGGTCACACCCATTTGGATTAGAGGCTCATTTCCAGCAGCAAGTGCATGGTGGTGGCACACAACTTCCCATCTCGCTGTTGGTATCCCCTTTAAGTTTAGCATTTTTCAACTACATTTATAAAAGCTGTTAAATGTTAAAGCCCTTATAAAGGGTAGTTTCTCAGTGTTCACAAAGGTCAGAGGACATGCAAACATATTAAAATATTAGGAAGCCTTGTGCAACACCAACGAATTCTTACATTGCCAGCATCAGTCTCATCCTGCACCAGCTGAAGAGCATGACTGAAAGTGTAAAAAGAGAAAGGAAAACAACTGTTTCATCCCCAGCAATACAGCTTCTTTGAAAGTTAGGTCTACCCTATCCCTGACCATCTGCTATCATCCCCCTTGCTATGAGAAAGGGGAACACTGTCCTAGGAGAGGTCTACCTGCTGTCCAGCTTAGGTGAGGAAATCACATACGTTTCCAAGGAGCACGGATGGTCAGCTGGCTGGAAGAAAAGCACATAGGACTGAGCACTGGTACCAGCGCTTTGCCTGAGCTGCCACCATTTCAACTGTGGAGCAAACTCCAGCCTAAGGGTTATTAGACATCGCCAATCCGTATGCAAGGCACAGTTCCTCATACCCAGCCCCACGTGAACTGAAAAGGCATAACAGCACATGCATGTTTTTGAAAACCAGATAGATTTTCACAAGAAAGGAATATAGAGCGCACTACCAAAGGGTGGATGAGAGAGTCAATCATACAGACCAGATGGCAGTCACACTGCTTAATGCACTATTGCAAGGTGCCCAGCTAGTCTAGTGATGAGCAACAGGAAAACTACATAGGATAATGTTCTCTGTTAAGTGCCAGCAATTTATTACACCATATTCCTGAGAACAGCTGAAGTGAATTAACCACAGCAACAATTTATTATTCCTTCTGACAGTCCTGAGATCATATCTGTGCTGCTGCTGTGGTTGCTGGTACCTTCTGGGCAGATGTGGACCTGTTTGAAGCTAACCAAAAGCCAACTGTCCAGGTTAGCATTGTACCAAACCCTGGCCAGTAAACCATCCAGTGGGTGTATTAGCTTATGTGTGATGCTACACTAATCATCACTTGGGTTTTGGTCAACTTGTACTGTGACCAGAACAGGCTTGCATCTACTAAGAAAATTAAAAAAAACAGAGGCTGACAAAGATACACCAGGTGTTGCAGTAACAGTGGGTTAAATGCTCCTCCCTCCAGCTACTTCAAGCAAAGGAATGGTTACTAGGAACATGCCCTCTACAGAGCCTTTAATCTCATAAAGCAGGCATAAATGAAGGTACTTGTATTCTTCTTCTCTTGTGTACAGCCTACATCCATGCCTACATATCACCACTTAGCCATAAAAAACATCCTTCAAGTTTGATTTTAATTTTTTTTAAAAATTGAGCAATTTCATGAAAACAATGCTGCAAAGCAAAATCTGGCAAAACTCGTGGAGGCTGCATTTTCTATTGCTTGTCTTAAATTTGATCTTGCACTAGGGTACAGATGAGGTAAACAAAGCAGATCCTTGACCACAAAAATCTGATTGCCTTGATATTCTGGAACTGAAGCTAAGACAATATTGGGGTTTTTTTACCAGACAACAGTCTGGCCCTGTAAGATTGCTATCTCATGCCCAGAAGGGCAAACGAATTAGTTTTTACTTGGAAGGTGACCACTTCTCTCTACAGATGAGCACATCTTAAATACTGTTACTGTTTCATGAACCGATAGTACCTTTTCTACATGATCATCTGTGGAACAAAGTACACAAGTACTCCATGGTTATGTTTTACATGAGCCAATCTACTCCTGGAACCATCACTGTCCATATCCAGTCACCTGCAACATCTAATAACCATGGATCAAAGTAGACAGCTGGTTAGACAGCCTTGGCAACCTTACCATTCTGTATGAGCCAATTAAATAACATGGTTTATTGTAGTTGGAACACAGGCATGAGTAGCTTCAAATTATGATTTAAGATTTTTGCTATGTTTATTTGGGTTATCTTGTAAAATGAACATTCCACATTATGGTGACATGCAATTATAATGTACAAATCTGTCTGCAGAGAAAACCTAGTCACCAGCTAAAAATCTATATAATTATTACACAGTTTTAACACACACCAAAAAAATCAGGTAGAGAAGTCAGAAAACAGGAAAAAGAAATTTTGCTCTTTCTTTTAAAAATACTAATTCTTAATGGAAGATACTGTGTTAGAGGTAATGCAGAACATCAATTCTTTTTTAAAAGGAAAACCTCTCCATAAAACATTTCAGACTTCACAGAATAAGCTTATTATAGAACATCTTGCTTTTATCACTTGGATTTTAGATAATTATTTTTCCAGTTAATCATCATCTGTCTCATGTTTAGACTTAAAAGGTGCCTATCACCTTCATATTTAAGTAGTAAAGATTACTGGTCTTATTTATTGAAATCATAACCTTCTTTATTACCATCCCAGATACAGTGCTATCTTTCCTGTTAACTATCCACATATACTTTGAAATATTGTAGCCTACTTTGTTGTGGGGTCTGTTTTTTAATTGTAGGTCTGATGCCAGAGAATAGAATAAAATATGACTCCTTAGCAAGCATCACATTTCCCATCTCTGGAGAAAAGCTAATTTCTTTACTTCATTATTATTTCCCCTGACAGTTACCTCAAACATGTGACAATGATGCAGTCTTAACTCTTCACTGCTGTTTGGTGGTATTTCACTGACAGTTAGCACTTTGTTATCATGGGATGACTGCTCAAAAAGACTCTGGGGAGCAATGCAGTTTTAAAAATTCAGGTTTTATTTAATAGGTATTAATCTCTCAAATCACCCTGGCCGCAACCTCTGAGAATGGGCCTGGAAAGGAGTTCCTCTAACACTGAAACTCAGAGGCTCCCTTTAATGGAGAATTAAGGCATGCTAACCAAGAAGCCTACTGACAATTCTCCTTCTTATCTAGAAAAGGAGGATGTCCCAACTCCCCAAAGATATTAATAAACACTATACATATATCCATGACCACTGAAGAACTATGTCCAGATTTGACTTATTTAGAGGTAATGCCTGTGAACTAAAAGTACAGATCTCTTTCAGAAAGATGAATCAACTGTCACTGTCCCCCAGCAAAATTGGATCTTCGTTCTTCCTCTGTCGATGTTTCTTTATTCTCAGAATCCCTCACTTTCAGATGCAAGTGCTTCATCAACAGATTTTGTATGCCTTTCCCCAGCATAAATCCCATAATGCAGCTGGTTATCCTTTACAGTAGCCCAGGACATCTGCTTGGTGGAGAACCTTGCTGCCCACTCTCCTGAATTGTTAACAACAATGACACCCCCCAAGCCCCCAACTCGTATCTTCATGTAGTCTAATGCAGTGTCAGCAGCCATCTCTGGTGACATTCCTGAAAAGAAGAACAAGACAACTTCATGGTATCTGTCTTGAAATAAGTCTTAAAATTCCCTTCAAGTTTCACCCCTCCCTGTGGACCCAGCCAAATCTAATTCCTCCCTCAATTAAATTGGCAAGAAATTTCTAGTGTGGCAAAGAAACTGCTCTGGACAGTTGCTAATAGCTGCTAATGGTATGGTGCTACTACAAAGACAGGATTTAAATAGATTCATTTTCAGTATTTGATATAGACTAACTCATCAACTCTATGTTCAAGACACAACATTTCTTATGCCACAATTTGAAGGGAAAAATGCCAGCCTGGAAGCTTTCCAAAGGTTTGTCACAAGCTAGGTCTGAAGCACTTACAATTTGAAAAAAAAAAAACCAACAACTCACACACATCAAAACAATAAAAAATTTCAGTCATCACCTACGTTCCAAGTCCATGGGCTGTAACAGAGCTCAAAGCACATACTTCCCATTGTCATAATTTATCAAAAGCAGACATCAGCATTACTCTTCCTGAAACTTCTGAAAGTATCAGGCAAGATGAGGACTCAACGTACTAGACATCAGAGAAAGGACCAGCAAACTTTATAAACAGGAGTATTTTCTAAATAATGTTAATTTGTACATCATACACACAGGCCTGTAACAGCCACAGAATTTCGTTCACTACAAGTTTGAATATATATTCAGGAATGCAGTTGGGTGAGCCTAATTGTTCCAAGATATATACCACCAGTAATGTTATGCAGCTAAGGCTGCAGAACAAAAACTGACCTTCATGCCTTCCCTGCAAATTTTGAGTTAAAACCAGACAAAACCAACAGAGTCAGAATTATTCACAGCACTGGTGACTGACAGGATAAAGCTCCTTTCTCTGACGTTACGGGTGACACTGTGACTATTCAAGTCAGTGGCACTAACTTCAAAGGGTCAGTATTTCACTGTTTGATTTTTCATCAAGACAACAGCTGCCACCGTAAGACAGAGATTCTAACAGCTGTTAAGACCGGCAAAGTAATTCACTCCTGAAATACCAAAGTAAATTTTTCAGCATTGGTCCAAAAGATATATGAATTACTGAATAGCTGAACAGAATTATGAAAGAGCAACTTCAATTGACTGTTCAAGGACTCAGAAAGTTATAATAACTTGAGGGTTTGTTTTTAGCACCTTCATGGAAACATAGGGGAAAAAAAATGTCTATTGCTGACGTATTTTCCTGGCAGATGAATTACAGTTCTGGGCAGGATGAATGAAGGTAGAGCAAGCATGGGCAGGGTGAACAAGTGCAAACCAATTAAACGGGCACACGTGTGGGTTCATTTTCTTTTTTTTTAAAAAAAACTTTTCCATTTCAGCCTCATTTGCCTTTCATACTGATTTATCACAAGCCAGATAACTGCTATCAATGCATAGGTTTTGCAATGCAGTTAACTTCAAGACAGAGAACAAACTGGTTTGCAGTTTAAACTAAACAGAGCTTAGAAGGGCATTCACAAATTGCATGGGACATAATACAGAGAGTAAGGGGAGATCATAATGTGTGTTAGATCTTTGGAAAATGATCTGTAGGTTGTATTTTATGCTGAAACAATGACATTAGCCAAGAGATATACAGAGAAATACATCCGTTACATGCAAACAGCTCTATAAAGTGTAATAAAAATATTCTCAGCTGTTACTTGTCTCTCTACTTACTGCTTCTCCAATGAAAAATGTAAATTGAAAGTTTTCCAACTATTTCCAGTTCAGTTGATCTAAAAACAAGTTACACTGTACTGCCCAAAAGCTACCGCTTTCTAAAAATAATGGTGATATCTATATTAATGGTTCTTCAACTGCATGCAATACAAGTATGTTGTCTGGCTATGTTTACAGGCTGTAATATAATCAAGGGTTTAGATGACAGACTAACTCATGAAGGTAAAGCTCCAAAGGGTCATCCCACAGTCAGATTATATTACAGTCACATAAGATATACTGTCAGCTGTTTACCACATACCCACCCAGTCAGTTTAGTGTATTTTCCAAAACAAAATGAAAATGTAAATCATAGTTAAAATACCTTAAAAGTATTTTTGTTGCTATAATCAGAGTTGTTAAAATAAAGATCTTTACAGTTTATTGGAAAAGTGATATACCATGCTTTCTCATTACGACTCTGATTATCTATCTCTAGTTCTCCCCTACTGCTTCCTTAAATATATCTTGCTTTTACTTCATTTCTATGTCTTTGTTCACAGAATTTTAGTTTCAGATTGGGAAAATTTATTAAAGAGAACTTCAGTTGAACAAAGTAGACAATATTGTCTTTCAATGTATATTGATCTAAAGCATGATTAAACATCAAGCAGCACAGATATTTCTGCCTACTTAAGGCTATTTTAGCTTTATTAATACTTCAGCACTTTGTTTTGTTTTTAAAAAGAAGTGACCCATCCACATACCCCCAGTAGCAACTCTTCCGACTGCTGTTCTAGGGTGACAGTACATAAACTGAAACCTGTCATTAAGCAACATTTCCTATCCTCATTATTCCAGCTTACAGAAGTTTGGCATATACCTTGCTCCATGTGGTAGAGGATCAGTCGGGCTAAGACCACCTTCATAATGCTCTCCCCATGTCCTGTGGTTGAAGTGGCACCAGAATGGTTATCAGCATAACCTCCACTTCCTTTCCAGAGGGTGGGGTGGGGGGTGGGGGGAAAAAAAAAGGCAATACTCTAAAAACAATTTACAAGCTCTGCATTGTTTAAAATAGGTACTAAACATTTCTTTCTAGAGGTCCAGCAGTTCCATGCACTTCTGGGAGCAAAGTGTCAGTAACAAACTTCTTTCTCATGTCTGCCTCAGTTTAAGTAGTAAAATATATGGAAGAGATCAACAAGAGTTGAAGTCAGTCGCCACGTTGAGAGAGCTAGAAGACTAGTGATCTGCTTGTGGTACAAGAAGCAGAAATAGGCCAACACTTCACAGAAATGGGCAAAAATATTTTCCAGAACAGCAGGAGACAGTACACTGAGAGTCAGCAAGACAGCAATGGGATGCAGAACACCAGGTCACACAACATTACCAACTGAGAAGATACGAAGGAAGATCTTGTGAAGACATTGGTAAATTGACCAAAGTTTGAGGGGAAGTTATCTGCAAGAGCAAAAGCAGATAAGAGATGTGAAGAGCCTGGGCTCTAGTGAAGCACATCATGAAGCACCCCTGAAGAATTTTTCAAGTCTTCACCACAAGCAGAGTGTTTCTTCTGTTGAACTTCCCATCCCCCTCCCCTTTTTATTTCTTCCCATTCTTGTTTTGTTGGTACATTCCACACCCTGTTCTCCACCAAGCTTCTGCTTGCTCAACACCCATGTTTCTAGCACATCTCCTAAGAAAAATATTTCCCAGGAGCTGGGGAAGAATGTGCCACAGCATTAAAAACAAGGTACTAGCAGAGGGGAGGGAGGCATAGAAAAGCAATCGAAGTTTCTTCCCTTCTGTACTTTCTTGATCAAATCAGACCCTTTCAATGGACCCCAATTTACACATGAAAAAACACTGCCATAATCAGTCTGTCAAAGCCCCTTTTCAAAAGGCTCTAATATTTAAAAGGACAGCTAGCATTTCTGTATCCAAGGCCAGAGTAAGAGCAACAATTTCAAGTGATATGCTCAGCAGTGCCCAGTTTCACTTGTCCTTCACAGACCTATGACCCATACTATAGGAGACCTGAACATAACCTACATAAGAGAAGGACATTTGCAGTCAGAAGGCTGCAGTGAGAAATGAAGCTGAAAATCAGTCAAAGTACAGAGGGTACCAAAATATTAGCAATTTAGGGTGTGAGAAAAGGTTCATATTAGTTTTAAAATAATTGTGTACTGCCAACAGCAGTGCTATTTGAGTTTGGAACATGTTTTACTAAAAATAATTATTTTCCAAATCCCAACTGTATGGTAGAACCCTGAAGCAATCAAATGGGTCTGTCCCATGAGAGGAAGAGGTCTGGGAAAAGGATTTCAAGTGTCTCTTTATACTTGGATAAGAGATCTCTTAAAATATTTCCTTTATTCCACACCGCATCTATTAGGCTCTGAGGCAGTCTTATCAGGGCTCTCTAAGAACAGGAATTTACTCAAAGTCACCAGTCATTTTACAACTTTGGCTCACTGATATAACAAACAGTAATTACAATTACACTTTCTTTCTTAAGTATCAAGACAACAGCACCTTCATATGGAACAGGCTACATTTTTTGACATAGCTGTAAGCATAGATGTACAAAAGGAGAGCTTTATTGGAATGAACAGAATGGCAACACAGAAAAAAAAGTTAGCATTCAGGACAGGACAGAAAAAAGAATCTTCCATCCCCATTCTCCAGACAGGAAAGTGCTGGATGATGATAATAATCACAGCACTACACCTGTTCTATCAATCTTTACCTATAATCTCTATGTGGTGTTAAGGAGCTTGAACTTTGGCACATTTGAATGTTAGACCTCCATTTCAGATGTACCAGAATTCATGTTTCATTTCAGTAATGAAAAGGAGAATGTGTAATACTTTTTTTTTTAACTTTCTTTAAATGAGACACCTTCAAAAATAAGAGGCAAGACCCCACACCCCGTACCTATGCATGCTGTGTCACCAACACGGCCAGTCAGTTTATTAGAGAGTCCTCCAGTGGATGTTGCACAAGCTACATTTCCTTCACTGTCTATAGCAACAGCACCAACTGTTCCAAGGTCTCTGCCAAGAAAAACAGTTCACAAAATGAGCTTGAATTAAAGCATACCTGCCAAAGCATGTTGCATTTATTTTCCAGGTAGCTTTAAAAAAAAAGATTACTACAAAAAAAACATCACTGCTCATCATAAAGTTATTTTTCTCCATGCTTCTCATTACAAAAATAACAAGCAACAGACAATTCTCACAGCTTTAGAGTAGAAAAACATGCCTTTTTTTTTTTTTATCTCCCCCCATGACCTGTTTACTTCCATAGCATCGAAGCTTTGACTTGGGGAAATAAAAAACCCCACAAAACAAAAGAACACAGGTAGGAAATATTTCTAGCCATCATAATTCTGAAGTATTTTTTTGGCTGTGACATACCTGACACAACAACTATCCCCTAAACAGCAACTCAAAGATACAAGAATTGTTTCCACCGTCTCAACAGGAGGTTGACTAGAATTAATGACAATGCACTTAAATGAGTGAATACAGAAAAGGACAGTAATGTTATGTATGCACTGAATCATTTCCTTCCTGTTCCTCCTCTTTCCTCTTCCTTATTCCTCTAAGTGTTTGAGTGCCACAAAAAAAAAAAAAAAAAAGCGCCTTTCAACTAGTATTGTTCATAACGCATTATTAATGCATATTTCGACTTTGTAGCTATGCAATCTTGAGGTTTAAATCACTTGGCCAGTAGCATCTGTTGAAACCACACATCAGCTTAAAAATCTTCATGCGCTGAAGAAAAAATAGAAGTCTCAAGTACTGCTTTATTTCTTCAGCACAGAGAAGTCATATATAATAGGCTGCTTAAAATAAACATGAGTATTCATCTAAGAGAAAAAAAAAGGCTATTGTAACTTACTGTTACAGTTGCTGCTCTGAGAAGCAAGACATTACTGAGAAGCAACAGTCTGAAGTGTCCACATATACCAATTTTGGCAATTCATGTAGGAACATAAAACAGTATACGGCCAGGAGAGGTGTACCAAAAAAAAATCTAAATCCCTCCATACAAGAAATGAACTTGTAACAAGCCTTCAGGAATTCACTGCCCAACAGGTGACTGGAACAGAAGTAACGTTGGAAGTTGCCTGGGCACTGGTGAGGGTCTCTCTGTAGTCCCACAAAATCTGAGCTAATTAAGTCAAAGTCTTTGTGTACCGTGAAACCCACAGTCAATTTCTCAGATAACCAACTTCCTGTTCCCTCCTGCTTATATAAAATACCATACTGTCAGTCCCTGCACTTCATTCACAGCAATTCAAAGTTGACTGATGAATCACAGACCTTACAAACTGCTCTAACATTTACGTGGAGACAGACCTCATCTCAAACTGATATGATGGTGCAGATGGGCTTCCCACCCATCCATCTGTTACAAATGATTTGCTGAAAAGAATATTAATAAATCGCACACTCATGTGGCACCCTTCAACCAACTAAAGTTAGATACTCCTGAGAGATTAAGGAAGGTGTGTCCAGATGGACATTTTCCTAGGTATGTATTTACCATAAGCAACTGTGAGAATAATGAAAGTACACAGATCACATACACAGCAGCTATCTGTTTTGGTACAAGAGCTCAAAGCGACAGTAAATATCAAAGTGAATGTGTCCAACATACGTTTTCTGCAGTGGAGCAAACAGACAACTACACTCTTACTTCTTACTGTCCCTTTAAAATTTTTTATTGCTTCAGTGTCACATGTTCTCTTTGTTCATCTTCAGAACAAAGGCAAAGAAGATATAAACAATCTGTCTCATAGCTAGTTGACTCAGAAACATTACCAAGGCTGGCAAAACTAAATAGAGACATATTATAATCATCCCTCTATTGTTAGTTAGTGACAGTAGCAAGAACCTCAACAAGTACCTGCAGTATACAAGAGGATGCTATTGGTAGTAATGATTTTATTCAATCAATAATTATTCTTATGTACTACATATACTGTGATACAGATCACTTAGATCTGTTAATTCCCTTTTGTTTAAATCCCATTATTCAGCACCCATGAAGTTACATGTACTCATTCTATCTCCATTCAATTAATAAGACATCTGCTATTTCATCTCTTAGCCTTCATCAGTAGTAGCGTTTTCCGTTGACTGCTGTCAGGGTCCTTGTTAATTAATACCTCCTCAAGTTACTCTTGCACTGTGATTCAGAGGGGCTAGTAGCCTGTCTGCTACCTGATGGCTAGACTCAACTCCCTTTCGGTGGGGTTCTGAGGTAATCTCCAGCAATTCTTGACAAAGGTATGGTCAGATTCTTTGGCGTGAGAGACTGAAAACAAACCACACATTATTCTTAGCAAAAGGTGTACAAGATGCTATGTTGTACATACAATGGAATCATAAGCTTTTAGCACAAATGAATGCAGGCTTCTAACTGGCAGAAGAGAGCCGTCTCTCTTCTGGAGACACCAAACTTTCCTTGGAATGCTGTGAACCCCCAAGGTTTCCAACATTGCTAGGACCAGAGGACTGGAAGTAAAGTACACGCCAGCCTTCAAATTCCCAGTATGATCTGGTATTATGTTGCCTCTGACTAATGCTACTTCACCTTCTGTCTGCTCACCTCAGGCAAGTTTCTGCATAATCACTGTGGACATAACAGGGAAAAAGAACATTCCACATGTGATACAGGAACAAATGAGCTTTCATTAAAAAAGACCTGTTTTCAACTTTGTGAATTTGTGCTGACATTTTGGGCACTAGTTGTCAGAAAAAGAACAGTGTGGCCAAGACAAGAAAAAGTTTGGAGCCCTTCAGAAATACACAAGCCTTCTATTATCAGATATTCCAGAACAAGACAATGCTGAAATTGAAGATGCCTAACACTGTTATAAGAAAAAAAAAAATAAAAATTAGCAGTTATAAAGAATGAATGGAGATTCAGATGCCATGCTATTCCAACTTACATATTCAGGAGACCAATTGGCAGTAGAGGCTATGACATCCTCAAAATTCTTCATAATGAATTATAATACCACACAGTTCTTGGATAGACCATGGATCAAAAGAAAGCCTATACTGGATACAAGATGAACTACAGCTGAGACCTTATGGTCAAGGAACAACTTCACTTTGTTTACAAGACAATATATACACTTGCCTCATTAATTTATTTTTCCTTCTAGCAATTTACTGAAAGTAACATATAGCTTGTAGTTTATAGCTCATGGACTTTAATTAACATGCCCACAGAAGAACCTTCTTCTGACCTACAAATTTTTCAGCTCTGCTTCTCTCATTACTACTATTTCACAGAACAGATGAACAACATGTAATACAGCATTTAGGTAATGTAATAAATACAATGTTTTCCTATGCCACAACCACTGATGTACAAGTGGAAGCTCAAAGCAACTTAGTATTTATGCCTCACAGGCATAAAAAACATTTTTGACACCTGAGGATTTTCCTTCCTTTCATGTCCACCCCCACCATCCTCTCTACTTTGTATGAGACTTCCTTATTTTTCAAGTGACTTTTGTTTTGCTGTTGTGCAACACCATTCAGCAGCATCTCTTTTCACACCTACCACTACACAGAACTTCTTTTTTTCATTCCTATCTACAATAACCAACAGTTACATTCAGCACTCAGGAGTTACTGGTCAAAATCTGATTTTATTTAACTACCTAATCCAGTGTAAGGACAAATCCAATCATCTCCTTAACCAAGATCTGCTTTATTAATTTTACTTTTTTTCATGGACTTCTTTTAAAATGTGGACTGGAGATCACAGTTCTCCACAGAATAGAACTCTACAAAGTGATGCCTACTGTTGGTTAAAGCTGCTCTATGTACTTCTATAACTGGTGATTTTAAGAGCAGTAACAAGTTCTAACTTTGCCCTCCATTAATGCCACAAACCCTATGCTATATCAAAGCAACTGACAATCTTCTTAAGCATCAAATTTGCCCAAATTTGTTCTAGTCACTTACTTGATTTTGAAAAATCAGAAGCTTGATTTTTTTATTACCTTCACTAAGGGCATACTGTGAAGACTGTATCAAACCATGCAACACCCAGAACTGAAGTATTCTCAAGTCTGTGATTGAGACACAACCTTTGTGGTTTGGGGTGTTTTTTTTGTCTGAACTGATAGCACAAATTAAATTACCTGAATTAAAAAAGAAAAAATATTTTACAAAAACCCTACTTCTGAAATTCTTGAGGGTTGGAATCTGGCTCAAGATTGTTCTTCCATCTCTCCCGGGATCTCTCGGTTATGAGTTTCTCCCCTGGAGTCTCAGGAATACCCATGGCCTGAGCAAACAGGTGTGCACCACGGTCAGTCAGCAGCATGTGCTTCGTCTGCAGAAGACAGACAAGAGATTCATTGACAATTCTTGTTTTGCCTCGTACTCAGTAGTTTTGTATAATCACTCTTTTTAGAAGTATCCTCACAGAGAAAATTTCTAATTTTATTTTTAGACTTTCTAGATTTCTATGCCTATATCCCTCTCTTTCACTAGCTGAAAAAATTTTCAGCTCTCCAAAACACAAGCTTTTGCTAAAAAAGGTTGGACCAGATGATTCTTGAGGTCCTTTCCAACCTGGTATTCTATGAATCTACGAAACCTTCACCAGTAGCAGAATACAATTGCATTTACATATTTAATACTTATTATAACAGGAGAAGAAAAATTGGTAAATTTGCTCTTTTGCTAATTTGTGAGCAACTTCTTCATACTGTTTCTAGTCAAGCACCAAATCACTACCTGTTTTGTCCAGTTCACTAAGAGATCTAGAAGGATTTTACTCAGAAGAACAGTAAACAAATTCCTGTTCTCTGACTGTATTACACTTCATAAAACAACCAAAAAATGCAAATATCATACACTAAAATGCTTAACATCAGCTGAACCATTTTAAGTATTTCGTTCAACTAGCTGCAACACTTAAAGACACAGAATTTCAAATTTAAGAACATAATACTGATCTATAGGTTTGACAAAAACATATTTGTTCTCTTCTAACAACATTTGAAGCTCTACTTTGAGTCCTTTATTTAGTACAGCACTTAAACCAGATTTTAATTAAATCCATGCTTCAGTCTGTACAGCTTGGTTAATTCATATTTTAGAGAAACTTGCCAGATAAATTTGTTTCATTAATCCTTATACCTTAGTAGGAATTCTAAAATACGGGGTTTTTTCCTCTAAAATCTGGGTCCAAAAACAGGCATAGAGTTCTTAGACCACTACACAGCTATTAATTGCTCATTAGAGCCCAGGGAGTTTTTGGAGAAGCAGTAGTCTGACTATACAGTATGGAGTCATTTCAGAACACAGCACCTAACTTCAAGCAAGCTTTTATGTCCATGCAGCAGCACAGCATATGGGTACAGCTGAGGTCCAGAAAACAGAACCAGGTGATGCTGGAGGCAGCAGACCTGCAGAGCCTTGCAGGGCCCTGAAGTGGCACATACTCAGCTCTCAGCCTGAAGCGAGGACACCAGAGGTTGGGTATTTCTGTGTCATGCTGCATTCCACAGGACATTCACAGTTTTAAAACTTCAGACTTTTATGATGCTGCAGACCAGTAACTTCTGTTGATTTCTAAAGCAACAACAAGCAATCACTACCATGACCAACACATAGCACTGCATTGTTTTAAAGGATTCCAGCCGAATCTCTCCCCAAACTGCAGACACTGATCTCTGCTTAAGCCTATTAGAGCTGCTGCACTAACCCCTTCAAACCATTACAGAAGTGGGAAATGTGACCACACTTTAGAAACATTCCTGATGTTGTGGCCCTCACTTCAAACATTTTTGAAAATTTAAATGCCTTTTTAATGAAAAATTAAGTCCTCAATTCCTGAGAGTATTGCTTTAGGAAACAATAATAAAGAAGTCCTCTGTATATGTCAAAGATTAGAGAACAGGCTTACATGCTGAGTGCTGTTACCAGACAACAGAAGACCTACCCATTGCTAACAAAGCTAGCGTTCTTCAACTTGAAAGTCAACTTCTTTGTGCAATACTGCCCCCCTCTGCCACTAAGCCACCAAAAGCACACGATCCAATAATTCGAATTGGGTTTGGGTTTTGGGATGGGTTTGGTTTTTGAGGGGGTGGGGGTGTTTGTTTTGGATTTTTTAGGAAATACATTGAACTTTGATTTATCTGTATCAGAAGAAGACTCTATATCATCATTTAAATTTTTTTTTAAACAAATCAGTTTTATTCTTAAAAATGGAAGTTATTTCTTAAACTTTTCCAAAGGGTTCCCTCCCATATACAGATTCTGATAACACACCCACCTTCCTGAGCTGCACACACAACAAATACTTGCATATATTAAAATAAGCTTCCACGATAAGGGATTTTTTGTTTGTTGGGGTTGGTTTTTAGTTTTGGTTTGTTTGGGGATTTTTTTTGTAGTCATCACTGAAAAGAAGGTATCTTAAGGAGAATTTTATTTGGTTTTCTCTTCAATATAACTTGTCAATCAAAAGAGCTGGTAGAACATTGCCAAACAACCCAAAAGCATATTTTTCTGTCTCAGTCTTCTTCTACAGTTTCATGAATATGTTTGCTAACTTTAAGTGACTAATTTTTCTGAGACACATTTATACAAAGTAATCCAAAAGGGAAAAAAAAAAAAAAAAAAGAAAAAGGGTTCCAGAAATCTTATTAACAAACAACAAATGTTGGCAAGTTTAGTTAATTTCATGGGAAACTAGGAAGAGAAAATCCCCCGAATTTCTGCAGCTGGCCTAAACTTCAGACCATCACTGTGCTTTGTTTAACAATCCTGGCAGTGCACAAAGCACAGCAAGAAGTTGCACTTTTGCCTTGAGAAGTCTATGTCCTTAGCTAAATTTTCTTTTGCGTAATGTGAAGGGCTGAATGATACAGTAGGGGAAAACATAAATATAGTTAATGTATACCAATGAATCAGTGCTCTAATATTCGTGAGACACTCATCTAATGAAGTGCTGGAGCTGTGGGGGATGTACATGCCCCATTTGAAAAAAAAAGCACACCATTTCAATGTATTAGTCTATTTTTATTCACTACAAACAGGAATTCAACAGGAATTTAACTGCTTTCTCAAGGATTTGTTCAATTAGTTAATGCATTAAAAGCCTTCTATCTCTAGAGGCTATCGCGTTCACTAGCATAGTAAATCATGAATGGCAATTATTCTGGTGCCCTTTCTTCATGAATCTGGCCAAGTTTAAGCCCAGTAAGAATGTGACAGCACACAGGACAAATGCACAGCAACAGTCTAGACGAGCTACTCTGGCCACCAGATGGAGCCCATATTGTTCCATAACAGTACTGGAAATACAGAAAGTTACAAGCAGTTGGGGAGCATATTTTTTGTTTGTTTGCTTGGTTTTGGGAGCTGCATATTGCAAAATTACTTAAGGCAGTGAAGCATCTCAAATCCACTGGGAAATAAGCATCCTAACATGCTTAGGAGCCCAGGAAAACTACATTCTTATTACCCATGGGTCACTGAATTAATTTTTTTTTTAATTATGCAGAGTAAACCAAAACAAAATACATTCTGAAATGTACTGAGACACAGCCTGGGTTGGTGTCCCAAAATTCCTGTCCAAGATGAACAGAAAAGGAACACAAGCTGTTATTCCCATTTACAATACCTGATGGAGAAACAGTAGAAACTCACCTCAAGATATATCAAACAATTCAGGCCAGGATTTACATTTCAACTTTGTCATCTACACAGAATTTTTTTTTTCATCTGAGCAAAGAGTAATACATTTTACCTCAAAAGTTCGTGATTTTAGGACTACACCATTATACTTGGTGTGTACGATTGGATTTTACAATTTCCTTTCAAAGTTATTAGCCTCAATACTTTTGAGCACCAGAAGCACCACAGACTGATAAAACCTTGTAACAGATGAGAAAGATCTTCTAACAGACAAGACAAAGAATAAGGGTTTTTGTTTGGGTTTTTTTAAAAAAACACTTTGGAAAGTTATATTCTCGAAAACCAAGTGTTGTTTTGACTTCATTCTTGTTAACTTAAGTAGGATTTTGTCATAGACAACAACGACAAAAAAAATTGAACATTAAAAAGAAGTTATATATGGAAATAAATAAAATACAACATTCTCCCCCAACATGCTAGAAGACATCTCTCCCCCAACCCTCCACCTACTTTCTCAGATTTTGAAAAATTTCGTCTTGTGAAGCTGTCTACCAGCTATAGTTATTTATTTGTTCTAGACAAATGACAGAATAAAACCTACTTGAAGGAACAAAAAGCTTATTTGTCATGTTTTAACATTGTTTGCTAGGAGATATACACTGAAGACTTTCGTGAAGAGTTCTTATTTTAAAAGCAGAACTATAACTCCAATTAAGGTCAAAACTAATTCCTGTCTTCTTTGGAGGCTACTGAGGACAAATTACATTTCAATCATCTTTATAGATAACCAAATAGATGTTGTTTCCTCAAAAGTCATTTTGAAAAGTTAAAGAAACATAAATTCACTTTGTTAATAAGTGTTTTTGAAAATATGAACCCTTTTCAACTATGGGGCAGCTGTACTAGCAGGATGAAAAATGTAAACTCCAAAGACAGTAGAAACTTTTTGATCACTGTCACAGTCTAGCAATGGTAAAATTGATACACGTATCACAAATTATTTACTCCATCCTGAACCATACCAGTTGCATCATTTCTGAAAAACAGAAGAAGTTTGCTGTGGCAGATATTAGAGGAACTTTTTCGTGGAGAAACATACGATCGATTTTACGTAGAAGGTCAAGTAATAACCATTTTGCTGTCCTGGCAAGTTTGATTCTCTTGGAAAAATCTGTCACCATCACACAGTGCTAATGTTACCTTCCACTGCTGGAAGACCACAACTTCGCACTAAGGCTACCATCTTATTAGGTCACAACACACAATGTAAGACTGCGTTACACGGCCAAATAACGTTACTGGGTCATTTAATTCAGTTCCATGTCATTGCAAAGGCAACAGTATATTATCCATCTTTAATCTTGCAAGATGAAACAGAAGAATCAGTGACAGCTACAAGCTCTTTAAAAAACAAGTGAACAAAAACAAAACCCCTAAAATCTTGAACACCAGCTGTGGAGCTACAGGAAATCAACTTGTACAGGTCAATCGCTCCTTCAGCTTCCAATTGCATGGTAGAACTTATGCTTCCTTAGAATGCTATTTTTAATAAATACCTCTCAAAAAAGACTTAAAAGTTCTTTATGGTCATGACCACAGTTGCCAAACACTACCATCCATTTCTCCCTTCTTTCCTGCTTTAAAACATTACACAAATATTGTTATTGAGGTGTATCAATATACTGGATGAAGGGAAAAAATGTTTTATACTCAAGTACATACTGAGCATACCTTTTCCATGACAAGTCGAGCAAGTTTTATTGGGTTTGCTATACATTTAACTGCAGATACTGCTCCAGAGTCTAAATTTTTTCCATCCATAATAATGGCATCCATTTCTACTTCACCTTTTTCATTTAGAACAGATCCACAGCCTAAAGACAAAATTTAAAAAAAAAAAAAAATCAAGGAGGAAGGGGAAAGAAGTCATTAAGAGCTAACCATCATGTGATTCAATTATTAGATGTCATCAAGCAAACTTTCTCCTTCCCAGTTTGAGTTATTGAAAGAGTCTCCTGAATACAAACAAAACAGCAGAAACACTGGTGAATATAACCACAAAATCCAACCATTACCAGAAGCCTCACAGGGTACAACATCTACTTTAAAATTGAGTTTATTTTTACAAGATGAAAAACACATTTCCAATCCCATCCACAATGACATACTAGGTATGAAAGTTAAAACGACAAACAATCATGAACAGAATTCTTTATCCCCCAGAGCACTTCAAGTGCACATAAAACTATTTTACCTTTACAGTTCTTCCAAAGGAAGATACACCATAACCCAACAAAACAGTATAGTGTTCAATCCTATCAACAGATTAACATCACACAGCATTCCAAGAAACTGCCGAAACTGGTGGAGCACACTAAGCATCTGCTCACTATTGTAACAAAAGCTTGAAAAAACAAGTTCTTCATTACCGAATAAAAACAATAGGTGAAGGAATTTTTAAAAAATTAAAGTAATGAAACACCAGGTAGTTATTTTCTTCTATAATTATTGCTGCTATCACTAACCCAACTGAAAATTAATGAGATACAGTTATTGGCATTTTTTTAAAAAGCCTATTGGCATTGTCTCATTTGGTATCACAGGGGAATAATCAACTCTAAGTCATCAAGTGTACAAGCCTTGCTAATAAGGATGAAAACTAAACCTAAAAAGGTAAAAAAAAAAACCCCAGAACATGGCAAACTTACACAGCAGTTCAGGTGGAACGACTTGAACATTGTACAGAGCTAAAACAGTTTTTTTATTTCTGTTAAACCAACATTAAAAGCAAGTCAGAAACCACTGTTAACAACTGTTGACATAAGACCTCTATACCAATATGCTTCAGACCTGAATATATGAAGTTAAATCCCCTGTTACTGAAGGCAACAAAATCCTGTAATCCTCCCTCTCCTGTAATCTCTAAAACTCACCCCCAAAAAGTTATTTCTTGCACCTCTCCCACTGCATAAACTATTCCAGAGTTCAGTCCTGCATCATTCACAACATGTTAATTTCTAGACTACACTGATCTGTAAAGAGCTTACAGGTAACTGCCTTGTGCCACCCGTGTTAACATCATTCTTCCAGTTTCTCCTTTATGCTGGTGCAAGGAGTAAGACTTTTTTTGTTTTCTTAGATAAACTCTGCCATACTCTTTTAGCTTCCCTTGACAAGGTAGACTCTCTAACCATGATCACAAAATTCCAGAACTAGTGTACCCACTTCTCAAATATCAGTGACCAGAACCATGGTTCCAGGGGAAGCTCTATGAGCCCTCTTCATCACTGCATTAGTAATATCCTGTGTCTACTGGACACCTCTCATGGGATACATTTTAGGATTTCCTAAAATTTCCTGAGCAAAAAACAGTTGTGGACAGTTCCTCTAGTCAAAGGCAGCTTCCTATAAAAGCCTCCTTTTACAGTTAGTGAAGAGAGACAGGTGTCCTCTAAGAGCAATTCATCCCACTTCCTAAGAGAGCTATACCCTTTCTCATCCCACTGACCACTGTGAAAGTCTGAACACCATGGCAAGGCTAGATACTAAATGTCAGGTTATCCGAGGTTGGATGAATCCTTCCTTCTGTGGTTACAGACTGCCTTTTCATCTGCCTTCCAGCAGGAAGGTAGGGACTAACTGCCATGGTATCCATTGTCAGCAGCACTAAAAAAAAAAAAAAAAAAAAAAAAAAAAAAAAAAAAAAAAAAAAAAAAAAGTCTGGCTTAATTGTGAAGCAAAGGGCAGGGAAAAAAACAGACACACAACAGAAGACAGGAAAACTATGGGGACACAAATAACAAATGTGTCTGACTAGCCAAATCACAGGAGGGTTACTGAGATATGTCCTCTGTGCTGCAAAGGCTGCAGGGAAGAGTGTGCAAAGATACTATAATGACAGTTCTTGTACCTGGAGTATTCACACCAAGCTGGTTAATACTGCTAGTCAAAGAGATCACATGAAAGAAATATAACTAAGGCCACTTCCTCATCATAAGGAGAACTTGACGACTTCATTGTGCTGCACTAAAATGGTAGTTTCAGACAACAATGTAGCTTCTGAGCCTCTCCACCAAGCCTACATCAAGATGCATCTACACAGCATAGCTAAACCCTATCATTCAAAAAAGGGCACATCATTATGCCTATTCTTCCCAACCTTTATTGTTGTCTCTTAGCAATGTCTGTGTTTTTCTAGAAAATATTACAGTTAACCTGATTTTTCTTTTACAAATATAAATACCACACAGTGAGTTTTAAACAGCCACTCCAATCAGCGCCCTCTTCACATCACTTTCAGCTCATTTTCGCCAGCTACTAAGAGCAGCTGTATCTAATGAGTGTTAACACAATTAGATGTATCTGTAAGTGATTAACAGACTACCTGCCATTTAGATCTGCACAGTCAAACCTGAACAAGGGCTTCAAGTACAGTTAAGTAGAAGTAAAATGAGAGAATGCCACCCTGATGTTAATTATATAATAGCCCACGCCACACCTCTTAAGTCTGCTTCATAAGTTCAGCTTGATTCCTCTAAAAATCAGGATGTTCAACCTAAGTCAGTAACAAAACACTGCAACTTTCATGCAAAGCAAAAAAGCTCTTCCCCACTATCAACTACAAGGTGAGAAGGAACAAGAAAAATCTCTACAAACTAAGTGTGCACATAACTAATAGCTCTATTATCTAAAACAACACAGGTCTTTCTTTCCATGTTTCATTCCTGACATACCTTGGTGAGGGTGGGGAAACGTTTTCACTGCAAATCATCAAAATAATAAATTTGAGGTCATACAAAGGGGAGAAACATATCCCACTATTGATATTAACATTAATTATCATTAATTGTTAATAGTTATGGACCCTTACTGTATAAATTCATGACTCTTATACCATTACTTGTGTAATATTGTTTACAAAAGCACTAATTCCAAGCATTAAGATAAAACCACCTAAAACAGCATTTCTCTGGCAATAGGTAAAGGTACAGCATTAAGGCTTAAACATTGCTGCAAGCTATATTCAAGTGCCTTAAACATAAACATTAATAAACTCCATTAAGGAGTCCATGTCATAAAACTGAATACACTGCACAGTAACAGCAAAAGATTTACAGAAAAGTAATATGGCACCACAAGAATGAAATGGCAGGTGTAAACCACTGAAAAATAAGAAAAAGAGTAATTCATCTGCTTAAGTGTGCTCACAAGAAACTATGGCACATATCATGCTATTTTATTATAAAGAGAAATAAACTGTTTTGTGACACCAGTATTTACTCCACTGCAACGTGCATAATTCAAAGAAAATGCAAGCCAGCATTTTCAGAAGCATCAGGGCAAAACACCTGAAATACATGATGATTATAAACCCACTTAATTCTTGAAAAATTACCTGCATTAAAATGAGGATCATCTTCCATTGATCGTACTGCCTCCTCAACTGCATCTAAGGCACTGCCTCCCTGTTTCAGGATACCATAACCTCGCAGCGCAGCTCTGACAACACCAGTACGACTTCCCTCTTCCCGTTCTTTGAAGATCCGGCCAGCTCCACCATGTACCACAATGACAGGCTTCATCCTGTCAAATTCCTCCCAAGGCTTTCAGATGTGCACGAAGGTTTCTTGTAATCAGCCTGTTTTGGAAAGATAAGTCTTTGGCATGTGCTCCCTTCTACATGGAGGGAGATCTGTAAGTTAGTTAACAGATACAGTCGGTTTGACTGCAACCACTTTACCTTTCAGGAAGCTGAGTACTCACGGGAAGGAGTTCCTAATTCAAGTCTGGACTGGAGAAGGCCCCAGGCAACTTACGGCAACTTTGAAGTCAGGCCTGCTTTAAGCAGGAGGCTGGGCCAGGTGGCCTCTGAAGGCCCCTTCCAGCCCAAGTTAGTATTTAGGATGAACTCTGTCTGGCGATACAAGTTACACAGAAATAAGCACCCGAGTAACCCTTGATCCTGCTAACTGGATGGGTAACTGTGTTGAGTACAGTAATATAACGAGCAATAAAAACAAGTGACTGACCTGACCTAACGGCTCAACCAGCCTTACTGCCTGAATTTCAAACCTCTGACCTCTTGCAAAACTCTGTACTTTATACAGAACAAGGCATTCAAACCTGGCAGTCAACAGTTTGCTGTTACTGCTCACAGCCTCCTGTGAACAAAGAGGACTATTGCTACACATTTTTGGTGATGGCAAACACGTTTTTGCTTCCAGAAAAAGGCAAAGGAGAAGCAGCCTCATCTCCCACCGAAATCTAGGGCACCTCACAGAGGAAGTTCTCCACGTGAAAAGAATTTCTCAGGGCCAGCTATTTTTGGAGGCTGTGAAGAACAAAATCCAACAGCTTTCCCCTCATCCTACACGCAAGCCCTTTAGCCAGTCTCCACAGTCCTGCACTCCTGACAGCCCGGTCCCTCGCATTCCCGCAGCCTCAGGAGCGGCTCTTGCCCTCGGGGCCCGCTTGCCAGGGTGGCTGCGGGAACGCACCAGCTGGAGACAGCCCGTGCCGCTTGGGCGTTTCAGCCCGAGGTGGGTCAGAAACGTCTCGATTTCCACCAAGGATCCCGTAAGCCAAGCCTTTCACCTTGTTACTTCGACCGGTAGCTACGCCCCCCCCCTCCGCCAGAGTCAGGAGAGGCGGCTCACGGAGGAAGCACTCAGCAGGGGCTCCCCTCCGCCGCGGACCGCGCCCCGCCGCGCTGCCCGCCCTCCCGCCGGCCCCACTCAGCCT